CATCATCATCATCATCATCCTCATCATCATCATCATCATCATCATCATCATCATCATCATCATCATCATCATCATCATCATCATCATTATCGTCATCGTCATCAGCATCATCCTTCTCGTGCTCCTTCCCTTCCTCCGCCTATTACATGTTATATTCCTCTTCCCTCTCCTCCTCCTCATCATCATCAGCATCAGCCTCATCAGCATCATCATCATCACCATCAGCATCATCGTCATCATAATCATCATCATCAGCATCCTCATCATCCGTATCGTCACCATGAGCATCAGCAGCATCATCATCAGCACAGCATCATCAGCAGCATCAGCATCATCATCAAATCTTCATCATCAGCAGCAGCATCACAACCATCATCATCATCAACATCAGCATCATCATAATCAGCAGCAGCATCATCATCAACCAGCAAAAGCAGAATCACCATCATAATCATCATCAGCAGCAGCTTCATCAGCATCATCCTCATCATCAGCAGGAGCAGCACAATCATAATCATCAACAGCAGCATCATCATCAGCAGCATCAACATCATAATCATCATCAGCATCATCAGCAAAATCATCATCAGCATCATCATTATCATCATCATCATCATCAGCAGCATCAGCATCAGCATCATTATCAGCATCATCATCATCATCATCATCATCATCATCATCATCATCATCATCATCATCATCATCATCATCATCATCATCATCATCGTCATCGCCATCGTCGCCAACATCATCATCGTCATTATCATCGTCATCGTCATCGTCATCGTCATCATCCTCGCCTTCCTCGCTGGGGTCGCAGGATCGCGCCGCATCGCCGATGCATCGGCGATGGACCGGCAATGCATCGGCGACGGCGGGATGGAAAAGACCGCGCCGCATCGCGGCTTCGTAGGCGATGCGGCCCAACCCTCCAGCCCCACCTGCCGGGGCCACACCTGGGAGGCCTCCAGGCAGGGCCTCTCCTTCGGCGGCGGGGTCCTTGGAGCACAGGCTCAGGCCACCCAGCGCGCAGGACGCCTGCGCGGCACCGAAGCTGGCGCCCGCGGAGCAGCCGACGGGCGGGTGCACCGGCCTGGGGATGTCCGCCTGGCGGCCGTCGGGCCGCGGCCTCGGGACTCGAGACGCTGTGGCGAATCGAGGCCGAAGCTGTTCGTTCACCGTTGCTGCCTCAGGGGGCTCCTCTCGAAGCTGGATCGTCAACCAAGACGACCCGGGACGCAAACCTGGTCGACTGGACGGGGTCGAAAGCTGGGGGAGCACCGTAATGAACAAGTCGCGACGGGGGCCGCGCCGAACTGCCTCTGCCAGGCCACTGCCTTCCCGTCCCTCCCGAACCCCAAGGCCATGACTCAGCCGCCTGGCCACGGTTGGTATCCCAGCCGAGATCCAGCACCCTTCCCAAGCCCCCGCCCCCCCAGTCATAACTCGCCAATGCCTGCGCCCACCACGGGAGTGAAATGAAGGAAGGAAGGGAGCAGGCCGAGAAGGAAACCGTCGAGTGTAGCGAGGAGGAGCAGCAAAAGGAAGAATGGAAGCGGATGATGGGGAGGAGGAGAAGAGGAGGCGGAGGAGGAGGAGGACGACGAGAAGGAAGAGGAGGAAGAGGAGAAGGAACGGGCGGGGAAGGAGGACGAGGCGGCTGAGGACAACGATACAGAGAAAGCATGGGAGGAGGAGGAGGAGGAGGAGGAGGAGGAGGAGGAGGAGGAGAGGAGGAGAGAGGAGGAGGAGGAGGAGGAGGAGGAGGAGGAGGGGGGGGAGGAGGAAGAAGAAGAGGGACGGAAGGAGGAGGCGAAGGAAAAGGAGGCAGCAGAGACCTGAAGGGGGTCAGAAAGTCGCAGAGGAGAAGGACGAGGAGGCGAAGTAGAACGATGGGGAGGGAGGAACAAGCGAAGGACGAGGAGGATCATCAAGAGGACGTCGAGGAGCTGGAGAGGAGGAGGAGGAGGCAGGAGGAGGCAGGAGGCCAGTGGGGACGAAGAAGAGACACAGGAGGGGCCGCCCACTCTGGGCAGCCCCTCTGCTGCTGCTGATCCTGCTCGTCCTCCTGCCTCCCTTCCTCTGTTTCCTCATCCGTGTACCTTCGCGACAACTTCCTCCTCCTCATCCTCCTCCTCTTCCTCCTCCTCCTCGCCATCCTCCTCCTCCTCCTTCTCCTCCTCCTCCTCCTGCTCCTCCTCCTCCTCCTTCTCCTCCTCCTCCTCCACCTCCTCCTCCATTCCTTTTCCTGATGAACTTCTCCCTGTCGCACCCCGAGGCCAATTTTCAGGGCGGACCGGGCGTTTCGCCTGAAACTCCCTCACCACTCATGACTCTGAAGCTAATATGCTCGACCCACGAACCCAGAAAGGAATATAGAAATGTAAGCCATGGCAATGTTTCAAAGACATCTGATTGGGCGACAGGCAAACGCAATGCTGAGTGTATCGATCTTGATGTACCGTGCCGAGAGCTGTGCTGTGCTGCGCCGTGCTGAACTGCGATGTGCCATGCCGCGATTGTGCTCTATAGCGTTGTGGATCGAGTCCTCCTTTGCATCCGAGTCCTGACCAAACTGATCTGAATCTTAAGCTCGAGCTGCCTCAGCATATTGTAGCTGCCCCAGAGCTAATTGACAGGGGGGCATGCCATGAGGACGCGCCGCGGAACATCACAAAGGACGCGCCAGGCGACGTGCCAGGGGACGTGCCACGGGGACGCACAACGGGACGTGCCAAGGGGACGCGCTACGGAACGTGCCAATGGACGTGCCACGGGCCGGCCAGGGGATGCGCCGCGCGACGTGCCAGGAGGACTCGCCACGGGGCGCGCCACAGAACGTGCCAAGGGAACGCACCAGGTTGCAATGCTGAGTGTATCGATCTTGAGGTACTGTGCCGAAGGATGTGCTGTGCTGCGCCGTGCTGAACTGCGATGTGCCATGCCGCGATTGTGCTCTTCAGCGTTGTGGATCGAGTCCTCCTTTGCATCCGAGTCCTGACCGAACTGATCTGGATCTTAAGCTCGAGCTGCCTCAGCACATAGTAGCTGCCCCAGAGCTAATTGACAGGGGAACATGCCAGGAGGACGCGCCGCGGAACGTCCCAAAGGACGCGCCAGGCGACGTGCCAGGGGACGTGCCACGGGGACGCACCGCGGGACGTGCCGAGGGGACGCGCTGCGGAACGTTAAAATACGTGGTCCTTGTTCGGGACAACCATGTTAGATATCCCCCTGGATGGCCTGGACACCTAAAAACACATGGTGCCAGCTCGGGAAGCCGTGTTAGATACACCCCTGGATAGCCTGGACACGTCAAAACACCTGATCATTGCTCAGAACAATCATGTTAGATATCCCCCTGGGTGGCCTGGATACGTAAAAACACATGGTTCAAGCTCGGGACAACCATGTTAGATATCCCCATGGGTGGCCTGGACATGTAAACACGTATGGTTCCAGCTCGGGACCACCATGCTAGATACCTCCCTGGGTGACCGGCACACTTAAAAACACGTGGTCCAGCCCACCCAGGGAGGATATCTAACGTGCGGTCGTCTGGAGCGCAGGAGGGCTCAGGAACGTCCAGAGGCGCCTGGAAGCCAAAAAGTCAACGAATCGATACCAAATACAAATAAACTCTCGACGTTCCGTTCCGAGTCCCAGGAAAGATCCGGGATGCCCATGCTAGATACCCCCTGGGTGGCCTGGACACGTGAAAACACACCGTTCCAGCGCAGGACCACCATGTTAGATACCCCCTGGGTGACCTACACACGTGAAAACACATGGCTCCAGCGCGGGACCACCATGCTAGATACCCACCTGTGGGACCTGCACACGTGAAAACACGTGGCTCCAGCTCGGGACCACCATGTTAGATCCCCACCTGGGTGGCCTGGACACGTGAAAACACATGGTTCCAGCTCGGGACCACCATGTTAGATACCTCATAGGTGGCTTGGGCACGTAAAAGCACGTGGTTCCAGCTCAGGGCCACCATGTTAGATACCCCCCTGGGTGGCCTGCACACGTGAAAACACACGGTTCCAGCGCGGGGCCACCATTTTATGTACACCCTCAGGGCGACCTGGGCACGTGAAAACACGTGTTTCCAACTCGGTACCACCATGTTAGACACCCCCTGGGTGGCCTCGACATATGAATAACGTGGTTCCAGCTCGGTACCACCATGTTAGACACCCCCTGGGTGGCCTGTACACGTGAAAACACATGGCTCCAGCGCGGGATCACCATGCTAGATACCCACCTGTGCGGCCTGGGCACGGGAAAACGTGGTACCAACTCGGGACCACCATCTTAGATACCCACCTGGGTGCCCTGGACACGTGAAGCGACGTGTTTCCAGCTCTGGCAGAACATGTTCGATACCCCACTGCGTGGCCAAGGAAATCATGGAAAAACAAAAGAATTAGTCGAGACACCCTCGAAATTCCTGCGCGTGGGACGCGGCACGCGCGAGACATCCTCGGAGTTCCTGCGCGCGGGACGCTTTTCCGCGTCGCGGTCGGGGCTCCAGACTTCTTTTCTGTTAGAGGATTCTGCTAAAAATGCCCTGCACCCTCTTTTTTACGAAAGGGAACGGTGGTCTGCGGACCCCGCTACTCATCGGGGATCCGAGATCGGGGGCAAACTTTCCTCGAGCGGGCACGCTAAAAACGCGCTTGATCAACTGAAAACTCACACTTTACCTTATAACTTATCGCTAATAATTCCGCCAGCCCTACATCCGTCGGGTCCGGGGGGGAACAACTAAAAAAGAACCCTGGGTCTACGCTCTTTCCGGGAAATATTGGCAACAGCTTCACAGATGGAGGGCGGGCCGTTTTCAAAATGTGGCTCTTGCCTTAGCGCCGCGAACATTCGATTTAAAGATTGCAAGAGTTTGACGGATTGAAGGCGAATCGTTGTCAACATGTGGCTCTCGCCTTAGCGCTGCGAACATTCAGTTTAACAATTTGCAAGAGACGGTTCCTTCTTCAGCATGTGCCTCTCGCCTTAGCACCGCGGACATTCGCTAAATCAACAAGAATTCCACGGTTTCCCATGATCAGCGTACCAGACATGGCGTTTTGGACGGATTCTGGACTATCTGGGCGCAACAGTTACGTTGATTCGCGGCATTGACGTCCCAGAAATGGCGTTCTGGCACGATTCAGGATCGTCAAGACGAAACAGTCATCTTGATCCGGGCCGTTGGAACCCCGAGAATAATGTTTTGGCATGCTTCAGGGCCTTCAAACGGTTGTCTTCCAACGAGGTACTTCACTCAATGGAAATGAACCCTTGTAGGGGTCTATGAAGAGGGAGCTTGGAGGGAGGGTTTATTCCAACATCGTTGATGACTCGTGGGTTTACACTGGTCCACCTCCTCATCCTCCTCTTCCTCCTCCTCCGCCTCCTCCTCCTCCGCGATATTATCCGCCTTCTTCTCCGTCACCGCATCATGCGCCTCCAAAGCACCAGCCCCTGTTCCCCACCAAGAACTACTCCTCGTTGCACAGCCAGGAGCATCAGCAGGGCTGCCGGGAGCGTTTCGCTCGAGGTGTCGAAGGAAACGTTTCTCCTAAAGCCTATCTCTCCAACAAGTACATTCGAAGTCTTGCCAAAAGGAACACCACATTGGGGGGCGCTGCCCCGTTCTGCCCACAGTTGCGCGCATGATTGCGAGGACCGCCCGAAGAAGAACCGCAGGAAGGACCCATGGACCTCCATTCCCTCCTGCAGCAAAGAGTGTCCAACCGTACCCAGGTTGAGGGCGGATCACCAGGTCTTCGACGTCGCGTGTTTTCCAATACGTGGCGCCCCCTGGAGCTCTCGACCCCTTCCCTGGGTCCACTTGTCGGCCCCAGGACCCGAAACGGGCCTCCAGACACGGAAATCGTGGCCGCCGTGACTTGTCCCACAGACGTCATAGCCGTCGTGCGACCACATATAACACTGAATGAGAATGAAGGAGCGTTTCCGGTCTCAGCGCGCCGCGGCCCCGAGTGGGCTCCCCGATCTAAACCTGAGCATCGGCCCGGAAACCATAACCCCGCCTGAGCCTGGTGGTCCTCATTTCAGCGCCTTCACTGTAGAGGTGTGGGCCATCTCCAACATCGCCTGTGGCAGCCCTTCCGCCCGCCTCTGGCGGGAAGCAGCACGCCGCGGCCAGCGCGCCGCCCGAGGCGCTGTCCGACCGACATGTCTCCTGGCCGCCGGCGCCGACGGTGATGTGCCCGAGATCAGGCGTGCCCTCGGCAACCTGGGTCGGCTCTGGGGTCGGCTGCCAGGTCGGCTCTGGGGTCGGCAGCGAGGTCGGCAGCGAGGTGGCCTGAGGGGTCGGCGAAGCCGCGGCGACGCGGCCCGCCGCCTTCTCGGCGCTGGCGTCGTAGACGGGGGCCGTGGCGTTCTCCGCCTCGGCGACGTCGCCGGTCCCCGCCCAGGCCTCGCCGTCTGCGCCGGCGGCGCCAGGCGCCACGGTGGAAGTGGGCTGAGGGGTCGGCGAGGCTGCGGCAACGCTGGCGTTCTCCGCCTTGGCGACGTCGCCGGTCCCCGCCCAGGCCTCGCCGTCTGCGCCGGCGGCGCCAGGCGCCACGGTCGGAGTGGGCTGAGGGGTCGGCGAGGCTGCGGCAACGCTGGCGTTCTCCGCCTTGGCGACGTCGCCGGTCCCCGCCCAGACGTCGCCGTCTGCGCCGGCGGCATTGGCCTCGGTGGCGGGCGCCAGCGCGGGCGCGGGCGCGGACACGTTGGCGCCCTCCGCGGCTGGCGCGGGGCCCTGGTCGGCGCCCTGGGCCCAGCAGAGGGGCGCCAGTTGCGGCTGCGTCGCGGCCGAGGCCAGCGCGTTCCAGAAGGCGGAGCCGTCCTTCTGCATGGAGCAGCTGGCGGTGAAGTTGGACCGATTGCCCACGTCCCAGAGGCTGCCGTTCGCGCCAGCAGGGGCGAATGCCCTTCTGGCCCGCTCGCAGTCCTCGAGGCCCCGGATGGCAAGGCCTGGCTGGCAGTGGCTGGCGTTGTAGGGAAGCCTGGCGAACTTGCCCTTGATCTCCTCGGGCTCGGCTGAGGTCGGGCTCTCGGCGGTCGACTTCGAGACGCGAGGGCCGCCTGGCGCCGCCACGGCGGCCGGCCCCGGCGTCGGCGCCACGGGAGCGGCGGTGCCGACCTCGGAGGCGTCGCAGGCGCTGCGGGTCCACACCAGCTTCATGCTGATGTCGCAGGAGCCGCTCACCTGCAGGCTGCTATTTTCGAACTCCGCCTCGCTGCACAGCCACCCGCCCGCCTTCTCGCACAGGCCCGCGGCGGCGCTGAAGGCGATGCTCGGCGGGCAGCTGGGCGGCGGGGCGACGACGCCGTGGTTGCAGCACACCGCACCCACGGGCTCGCTCGAGGAGCCGAAGGGCACGCTCGAGGAAGCGTCTGCCACGCACTCCCGGCCCGCGGCACCGCCGCTGGCCCTGCCGCGCACCGCCCAATGCCAGCCCCCGCCGCCGCTGCCGC